TAACCTCATTCATGAGTTGTTTTGGCGTCAGGAGAAGTGGACTGATTTTCCATGGTTTGTGTCGGTCAACATTCCTAAAATTGCTGATTCGTAAAATTGAATACTTGTTGTTACACTAAGTAATTGAATTGAAATCGCAGCGAAAAGGTGGTGGAGCTTTAAATTTAAATTTAAATCGCCTTTACATCGTTCAATCGCTTGACTGTTAATTCATAGGTTGTTTGATAATGCTGCGGATTCGTTTCATGATATTTAGAGTAGAATCTAAAATCGAAGTTTGGTTTTTTAGAAGGTTAAGCAAAAGTTTGTCGTCATTTTTTAGTTGTTGATTTGTTTGCGCCATATTTTTAGCGTACTCTGAGTCCAAAACGCCGAATACTGCATTCGCGATGTTACCCACTAAATCAATTGCGCCTCTCTTCGTTCTTTTGTTAATCTGCATTATGTTTGCAGATAACAATTCATTTCTCGCTGTCTTGAACTGTTCAACTAACGTCCAGCAGTGACTATATCCTTTCATTAACTTACATACGTTCGCTAAGGATTCGGTTCCATTTTCAATGAATTCAAACTCCTGCTGCAATGGACTTAAGTCATAATATGCTATGATTTTCCATTCTGCTTATGATCTTTTGATGACTCCATTGTGTTCGAAATGAAGCCTGGTGTGTTATAAAATAATTTTATCGTGATACCTAACCGTAATATCAGTGGTATCCACAATAGTACCAGCAATGCAATGGCTAACAAGTTGACGTTGAATTTTGCTCGTTTTTTAGGCTTTTCTTCATCACATCTATCAGGTTGCATCATGGGTGTTAAACACTCTTCCGACAATAATGGTGCTAGGCGATGTATTGGACGCTTCCAAATCTCGTTTTTCGTTTTGACATCTACAACTCTGATTCTTCCATCGTTGCCGGAATATCATTTAGTAGATATATTATACAATGCCTCGTCGTCAGCATCGCTGCACCTGCTACAGGTAAGAGATTTTTGATAAGCAATGCTAACTTTACCACTGCATATCCATCCGAAAACCGTGTTCTGGAGTGTTGGTAGACCCTTACCTATTTTGATTTGACCAATGGATAAAAAACTGTGATAGAATTCTGCTCTAATCAATAGGTTAATTTAATTTGGATTCGCGAAGTCTGGATCAGCCAAGTTTATATTCTGAGGAATTGACCAACCAAAAGTGTCCAGACATTGTGTTGGTTGGGCTGAGATAATTCGAGGCATCACGAATGCGTTGATATTTATATTGAAATCATTAATTCGAGACTGAATTTTTGTTGTCACACTATATTTCGTGTCCCTTTTGCTTCTACTAATTCCTTCTTTCCATAACGGTGATGAAAGTAGCTGCAATTTTAATTTAATTTTCTTGATAGTTTTTCTGTGATTAAATTTATTTGCGATTTAGAATCGAGTATTACTCTGCACTCAATAAAATTACCGTCTAACGTAGCCATTTTCATGTTGACTGTACTAAGAAGAATATATCCCCTTTTGGGTGATAATGCCGTGATTACAGTAGAAGGCTGATGGCCGGGCTTCTCAACCGATGAATCTAATTTGGCGTTACTTGATTTGTTAAGTGTCTTTGAAAAGTCTGACAAGTGCAATAATGAATTGTGATTCCTGCTGCACTTATTGCAACGACTACTTCTGCATTCTGTTGCCTGACCTGCTCGAAGGCAGTTCAAGCACAGTTTAAGTTTCTGTACTGTCTTGATACGACATTGTGATGTTGAATACGAGAATGTTTTGCAATAGTACAGTGGATGTGATCCATTATTGCAAACCTTGCAGTTTGACATGATTCCCTTTCCCCTAGTTGTGATAAAGGTTTTTGCTGAGCACGGCTTCTCCCGCTGGCCAATCACCTTTATGGACGGGAATCTTGATTCCAGGAAAATCATGAAGTCCTTAATTGACTGAATCTCTCTTGGATGAGTCAGCGACTGTTCATACAAAATGCGAGTCTGCTTATCTAGTTTGAGGAGCAAACTATATAGCATTAGCGGCGACCATGAATCAGTTTCGAGTCCCACATGCTTGTGAATTATTTCAGTGAACAAATCATAGAATTGAAACCGCTTCAAATAAGCGCCATCGAATTTTGGTATTGTTACCTTAGGCAGTGATTTATCAGAGCTGTCTGATTTACTGATTAATTATTGTGATTGTTCATTATTTGCTTTCATTGAAGCTAGTGAAATTAAAGTTGATTGAGCCAATTCTTCTATTTCAAGGTATTCATCTATTTTATATCCCACTGTAGTCGGATTGTTGGTGTATTCCCAAATTTCAAAATTAATAGCTTCAATTTCATTCCATAGCTTCTTAATTTTTGCCATATTTACTTCGTAATATGCTTTCATCTTAATGCCTGTTTCACGATTGATGCCTGCTATGAGTCGCTGCAGTGATACACAAATTGCACCTTGTTTGTATATCATTCGTGCTATACTCGCGCTATGTTGTGACTGCATCGGTTGACGTGTTGTTGTCGCTGACTCTTTTGAGGAATGTGTTGTTCCAATAGCTGAAACATCTGTGTGCCCAACCTTTGATGTCGATGAAATAGTCATTATCTCGACTATTTCTTCTTGATCGAATTGTTTAATGGCCATTTCAAATTGTCGACTCTACAGCTTGTAAAGATTCAGGATCTTCTGATAATATTCCTTTTTAATGTAGTCGTGTTCGACTGGAACAGGATCAAGTTTGTGAATTCTGTTGTCAACTTCATCGAACGATTACCATATTGAGTTTAAACTCAAGTTTTATAAAATATTAAAATAAATAATACCAAAATATATATATAAATATAAAATATATAGTAAATAAGAAAGTACATACGCTGCGTCGTTATGTACCTAGGTTAAGTCGAAAGTAAAGATTCAAATAAAAATTAGAACTAGAAATGCACTCATAAGAAGCGCATCAAGTTCTCCACTAAAACAATTAATTTTTATTTTGAAAGTAAAAATCTATGTTAAAAAGAAGGAACGCCAAATAATATCGGCGATTTGAATTCCTAGTAAATTTAACGTTTTTACAGTCTTGTTTCGAAGCACCTGCAACAGCGTTTTACATTTTGTAAGAGTTTTATTCTGCATCTTACTAAGACCACACGAATAAGTTCCTCCTTTAGAAGAGTTTTAGCTGACTGGCTTGATATGCAGACATAGGCTCTCCGTTGTTCTCTGGTATTTGTACCAGATATTTTTACATCCATTTCCTCCGTGGGTTCCTGGAGTGTAATTCTTACTGCTTCCTGCTTTTCTGATTTCTCGCGGATCCTTGGCTTCTCTTCTCGTTTTACCGCTTTCTTTTGGGGTGCTTCAGGCTTTTTTTCGCTTTTTGTTTTTTGTCTGTTACCTTTACCCATTTTTCTTCATTTTTTCCTTCGGCGCCTTTGGTGAGGTTTAGACATTCGTTCGTTTTTAGCTTTTTCTCCGCTGTTTCCGCCGCTAGGCTTGTTACTGCACGCTTTTGTCGCTGCACGGTCTGTGTGTCTACCGCATTGGGTTCCCTTTGTGCCCTTTTTTTCTCTGCCTTAAGCCAACATCGGTGGAGATAGGTCATCATGTCAAACTGCGTATGCAGTACATGCACACCCTTTTTAATGTCCGTCGAGACATTTCTTTGCCGTTTTATGGATTGCTTTATTTTGTTAAGCGCGGTTACACATTTTTCGAATGTCTTCGCCTCTTCACTCTTCATTTTCTGAGGGTTGACACAATTCCTTATGAGAGATTGTGTTCAGAGCCAGGATTTGACGCAGGTCAGAAGTGCTATCAACTGAGCCCATACCACCAACTTAATGGTGGCAAACGTACTTGGAGACTTGACTAGTTTTAAAAGGACGGAGGAAGATGTGGCATTAACCTGAAACCCATTTCTATGACATGTTTGTCTTACATACACAGGTAACAGAATACCACATTCGTCAGCCCAAAAAAACATCATCTAAGTAGTTTGTTCCAGTATACTATAATCAGGATCTTACTGGGCTCAATCCTGATGGGTGTTTAAACCTAGAATTAATAATCATGCCTATTTGTATATGCATTGCCTGTTTTTGGCATGCATTTTTCCATCATTCGTGTCTAGCATAGTTTTAGTCCCCTCTCGGGGATTGTGGCCTTGTCGTGGCGAGGGGGCTTAGTAGGGTGCAATGATCCTGAGAGCGATGCCGGCGGTAGCGTAGCTACTGGTAGGGCTTCCCTTGCCGGTAAGGTCAAAGAGGAGCATCTGAAGCTAAGAGCAATCCACAACGGTTCGCGACACGGATGGTCTTTTTCCTCCGTGACGTCCCGGGATGTAGGCAAGATACAGCATCTTCAATCTTCGCTAAGAACCCCACCGTTTTCTCGGATTCTCGAGTCTGAAGGTCTGACTGGTGGCCTTAACTGGCAGCCCCAGTACCAGTATAGGATGCATGGGCTAATCACTCGTTCATCTGAATCTACACGATTACTGAAACCGAAACAAATAATTATAACCAACGGCTCCCTTTGATGACGACTATTGGAATGAAAATACGGAAACGATTCGGAACCTGGAATATAAGAACTCTAGCAGAAACATCAAAACTTGCTCAACTTGAACGTGAATTTGTACGTCTCAATCTTTTATTCATCGGGCTAAGCGAAGATGTAAGATGGAAGTAAGTAAGATGGAATGGCTGCGGCGAATACAAAACATCCTCCGGCGCTACACTCAAATACTCTGGAAAGGCCACAGGCGAAAAAAGAGAAAGTGGAGTAGGCTTTCTATTATCCAAAGAAGCTAAACAAGCGCTCATAGAATGGCAACCACATGGCGACCGAATAATTCTGGCAAAATTTAAAACTCGAGCCAGAACCCTCACATGCATACAGTGTTACGCGCCTACTGAAGTCACCGACCCACAAATCAAGGAAAATTTTTATGACTCCCTATACTCTGTTTTAAATAAATGCCCTAGAGGTGAAATAAAGCTCGTCATGGGAGATTTCAACGCACAAATCGGGCCAGATAACAATGGAAGAAAGCAAGTGATGGGTAAACATGCTCTCGGCACAATGAACGATAATGGGGAGCGTTTCTATGAATTATGTAACACCATGGGCCTCACCATAGGAGGTAGTCTCTTCCCGCACAAACATTTGCATAAAGTCACTTGGGTTTCCCCAGATAATGCAACAGAAAATCAAATCGACCACATTGCCATCAGCAAAATGTGGAGACATTCATTATGTGATGTCAGAAATAAAAGAAGTGCAGACATGGCTTCTGACCACCATCTACTAATCGGTGAAATACAACTCAAATTAAATGCGGTCTTTAGAAAGCCACAATTCAAAAGGAAACGGTTCGACCTCGCCAAACTCGACAACCCTACTGTTCAAAATAACTATCAATCTCTTTTATCGGCCCAAATCCCTAATCCCTTGCCACTAGAAGAAGAAATCTTTGAAGCCGAAACTTATTGGGAACAAGCAAAATGTGCCTTCACTGAAGCAGCACAACAAAGTGTCGGTATTCCTCAACGTCAAAATAATCCGTGGATCACCGAACATTCATGGAATCTTATAATAGCGCGCAAAGGAGTAAAAGAAAAGGTTAACAGGGCAAGAACGCGCCAAACAAAGCAGCAGGCACAAGCCAACTACAGTATTGCCAACCGCAAAGTTAAACGCAGCGCTAGAGCCGATAAGCGCAGATGGCTCGACAATTTTGCAACAGAAGCCCAAAAAGCAAGCGAATCACATAGGCTCAAAGACCTACACAACATCACTAAAGCTATGGTGGGACGTAAACACAGGATTGCAGAGCCAATAAAAAATACCAGGGGCGAACTAGTACATTCTACCGAAGATCAGCTAAAAGTTTGGGAAGATCACTACAGAAATCTCCTAGCGGGAAACAACACCTATCCTCAGCAGGAACTATGTAGTAGACACCACGAACATGTTGCTCGCAACGATATAAACACAGATGTACTTAACATCAGTGAAATTGAGGCAGCAATAACTCAGCTTAAAGCAGGTAAGTCCGCTGGTCCGGACAATATTGCCCCCGAACTGCTCAAAGCAGACAAAATTTCAGCTGCTCAAATTATTCAACCAATTGTCAACAACTTCTGGTCCCAAGAGTCATTACCGCCTAATCTTAAAGACGGCATCATTATTAATATACCAAAGAAAGGTAACCTGATGGAATGCTCCAACTGGAGAGGCATAACTTTACAAAATGTAGCTTATAAAGTTATTGCTCAAATCTTACATAAACGTTTAACTTCGGCTGTTGAGCCTACACTACGAGCCGAGCAAGCAGGATTTAGGCATAATCGATCATGTGCCGACCACATAAACAGCCTTTGAATAATAGTCGAACAGTCTAGCGAATGGCGATCTCCTCTATACTTGCTGTTTATCGACTTAAAACGTGCATTCGATATACTTCTCCATACCACCATCTGGTATGCATTAGAGTGTAAAGGTATAAAGAGTAAATTAATAAATTTAGTAAAAGGCTTGTACTCTGACGCGCATTGCTCAGTACTTCACGAAGGGCGTCTCAGCGGGCAAATTCAAATTAAGTCTGGCGTCCGACAAGGTTGCATTCTTTCACCTATACTATTTAATATAGTCTTAGATGTGGTTATGTCGGAAGCTATGAGCACAAATCATGGCATCTCATTCGGCCTTCATAATAAACTTACTGACCTCGATTACGCTGATGACATCTGTTTACTAACACATAACTTTGCCCAGATGCAAATATCGTTAAACAACATCGCAAAGCGTGCACTGGCAGCTGGTCTGTCAATCAATATCAACAAAACCAAGTCTATGAGTCTCAATTCAAACTGCTCAACGAAGTTTCAAATAGATGACTCCTACATCGAAGATGTATAAAGTTTCTGCTATCTGGGAAGCTACATTTCGAACAACGGCGGCAGTCGGCAAGACATACAGTACAGGCTATCGAAAGCGAAGCAAGCGTTTGGAACCCTTAACAAAATCTGGCGTTCATCCAACATCACACAACGTACTAAAATACACCTGTACAATGCAAACGTAAAATCAACTTTACTATATGGTAGTGAGAGTTGGAGCCTAACGGCAAGAGACGCACAACAGCTACAAGCCTTTGTCAATCGTTGTCTACGACGCATCCTTCATGTATTCTGGCCAGCAACCATAACCAACAATGAGCTCGGGTTTAGAACGAATCAGCCTCTTATAACTGATGAAATAATGATGCGCAAATACAAATGGCTTGGCCATACGTTAAGAAAACCCGCTGATGATATCGCAAGAAATGTCTTAGATTTCAACCCTCAAGGCAGTAGAAGACCAGGGCGTCCGCGCAACACTTGGAAACGACAAACTGAAGCCGAATTAAGAAATGCTGGAAAGAGCTGGAGTGAAACAAAACGTCTTGCATTAGATAGAGTTCAATGGAAACTATTTGTTACGGCCCTCTGTTCCACCTAGGAATAAAAGGATTAAATAATAATAATAGTTTTTTCGTTGAGCACGAAAGAACTCCATCAATGGTGCAGCTGCACGCTTTTGGAACAGTACACTCTTTTGTATCCCTTGATGGTGCACAGCTGTTTAACCAATCTCCGCGCACTTGGATGTCCCTCGTTGCCATCCCGGGATAGTGGACGCTTACTTAGAGTCGGCGTCTACTCGGCTCAACTCCGGAGCTTCTCAGGAATTTTGTGACCTTTTAAGCCACACTCTCCAACGCCTGACTGGATTTTAGTCGCCTCGTACGACAGGCATGCCTTACCGCGGGAATATTCTAATCCCTATCCCGCAGGGGGAATACACATAATATTCAGGTTTATTAATTTGTTTACTAGCTGAAATGATCGCCTGTTGGGAGTGGGATGGAATTGTTTGCTAACTATACATTAAAGCAGTTTAAACAAAAGCGTCAAATTTCGTCTGCAAGAAAATGCACTCTTGCAGTTTATAACAAGATCATTGTTTGCCATGCATGGTCAAGGTTATTTTAGTTAATTGATATGTTGTAATTGATTATTAATTTTTAAATAAAAGGCACAATTGAATTTTTGACAATTCAGTTGTTGCGAAGCCACATTCGTCATTGATTCTTTTATTTGTTCTATTAGCTTTGTATATTTAGTTCAAGTACTCACATAAGCGCCTAATCACTGGATTTAAGTGTTCAGTGTTTAGGATAATTAGGACAATCATCGAAATCACTGGGTTCAATCATATAGTGATTTTTTTTGTTTTGATAGAATCAACATAAGTACTGGATTGAAGTGTTCAGTACTTACAAACAGTTGATTCCAGCGTTTTGATCAAACAATAACATTTCCAGCTGATTGATCATCAATATATTAAAATTAGAAAAAAAAACTTACAATCATATATTTTACTCTTACAACTGGGTTATAAAGGGGGCCTTGCATTTCTGATGTCGCCGACGTTGGTCTAGCTCAACTACAGCTTTCCGCTCCGTCCACTTCTCGTGCTGCTGCATCCTTTTTTTTTTTAGTTGCTGGTGCTCCGCATTCATTTCTATCTGAAAATACATCACAAAAAATTTAAATAACCAAAATTGAATAATATTTTAACAAACTTACCTTTCAATACCACATATAAATTTAAATATGAGAAGCAAGAAATATCAAAACATCTGATTTCTGCCATTTTTGTTTTGTTGCAACCAAATATTCATAGATTTTAGTACAGGAAGATTGCAAGTAATTGCACGAAACTTCGTGCGTATATATTGTTGTTATTAATTACATGCTCGTACAATCTGTGAATTTCGTGCACCCTGCAATGAGTTTGCATTAGAGAGTGAATACAAATTTTAGTTGCAATGGTTTTACCGCTCTTGTTAGGTATTCTTTGGTTATTATTACAGAATCAAGTTTCAATTCACATCGAGTTGTCGTTCTTGTAATGTGTTCTTTGCTAACTGGTAATAGCAGAATGCTGTAGAATGATATTTGATTGTGATAGGGCCCTAATAAATGGCAAATATAGTCGTCACATATGATTGGAAGTGTTGTTTCTAAATTTTGGATAATTTAAAGACTAAGTTACATTTTGTAAATCGTTTAACCCCTAATGTTCCGAAAGTGATTTCACTACAAAACAAAATTAATATCGCGTTAGTAAATCCTTATAATATATTTTTGATTTTATAATAAAAAGTTCGCATTTTATAAAACAGTATTTGATTGTAAAAATAAGTTAAAGTTAATTAGTTAAATTTTGAGAGAGTATATATTATTACCTTAATTGGAAATTTATAATTACAGCGAAAACAGCACGCCATGAAGAAAGTTTTAATGATAGCAGAGAAACCAACATTGGCAAGTAGCCTGGCTAATATATTATCGAATGGGCGGAGTTTAACTAAAAAAGGTTATATATATTTGATCAAATTTAGGCTTTATGTAAATGCATGATAAAGTAAATATTTTAAAGGTATTAGCAATTCGTGCCAAACGCATGAGTGGACTGGTTCATTTCGTAGTGAACGATCAGTTTTATTCCGTATGACATCAGTATGTGGTCATGTGATGCAGTGTGATTTTGTTGGTAAATATAATTATTGGGATAAAGTAGATCCTGCTGAATTATTCACTTGTCCCACGGAAAAAAAAGAGTCAAATCCAAAACAACACATGCGTTCGTTTTTGGCTCAAGAAGCAAAAGGATGTGACTATTTGGTTTTATGGCTGGATTGCGACAAGGAAGGTGAAAATATATGTTTTGAAGTAATGGATGCTGTTAGTCGAATTATTTCTAATGTATACAGTCACAATGTTACCTTCCGCGCTCATTTCTCAGCAATAACTGAAAAAGATATTAAAGAAGCCATGAATAATTTGGGACACCCTAATGAATTTGAAGCAAAGTCTGTAGACGCTCGACAGGAGTTGGATTTACGAATTGGATGCGCCTTTACGCGATTTCAAACAAAATTTTTTCAAGGACGGTATGGTGATTTAGATTCGTCACTCATATCTTATGGACCTTGTCAAACGCCTACCCTGGGTTTTTGTGTAAAACGACATGATGAAATTCAAGTTTTTAAACCTGAGACCTTTTGGTATTTGCAGTTGGTGGTTAGTCAACCTGAATTTATATTTGAGTGGAGTCGAGGCCGAGTGTTTGATAATAATATTGCTAACACATTGCTTAATGGAGTAAAGGAACATAAAGAGGCAATGTAAACAATATTTTTTTTATATAATCTACACAATACGTTGTTATACAATTAACTTTATTTGTTGTAGAGTCGATATTGTTACATCAAAGGAACAAGTTAGAGCGAGACCCCAGGCCTTGAATACAGTTGAATTAATGAGAATTTGTAGCTCTGGTTTAGGAATTGGGCCATTTCAAGCGATGCAAATAGCAGAACGTTTATACACACAAGGCTACATAAGTTATCCTCGAACAGAAACAAACCAATATCCAACAAGTTTTGATTTGCAGTAAGTTAATATCACTAATGTAGAGAAATGTAATTTTTGCTTGATATGGATGCGTTATATTGTCATTCCAAAGAGTCGTATGGTCAGCAAAAAAGCCAATAATCAAATTTGTAAATTTATTTTTAAACTATAAGAAAAACGTAATACGAATATATTTCGACACTCATGTTGTATATTGCATTATAAAATATTACTCGTTATATTTTAAGAGCTGTTTTACACATATTGGAGCCTTCAACAGAATTTGGCAATGAAGCAACTAATATTTTATTAAACATTAATTTACCTCGTAAGGGAAAAGATGTTGGAGATCATCCCCCTATTACTCCTATGAAATTAGCTAACAAAGGAAATTTTGAGAAGGATACCTGGCGTGTATATGACTTCATATGTCGTCATTTTTTAGCCACGATATCTCAGGACTTAAAATATAGGCAAACTTGTGTAAAACTAAAAGTAAGCACAGAAACCTTTACTTGTACCGCAAATGCGCTAATTGATCCTGGTTTTACAAAAGTATTGACTTGGCAAGGTTTCGGCCGTGACGAAGTTGTGCCAAATTTCACTACAGGTGACAAAGTAGAAATAAATGAAGTACGCTTATTAGAAAGCCAAACCGGTCCCCCTGATTATCTTACTGAAGCTGAGCTTATAACACTAATGGAACAACATGGTATTGGAACGGATGCATCCATCCCTGTACATATAAATAATATATGCCAACGAAATTATGTACACATAGAAAGCGGACGCAAACTGAAACCAACAACATTAGGTATTGTATTAGTTCATGGGTATCAAAAGGTATGCTTTAAATAAAATTAAAAGCATTATTAAAACGATAATATTAATAATATTTACTTAAGATCGATCCTGATCTTGTTTTGCCTACTATGCGATCGGAGGTAGAACAAATGTTGAACTTAATATCTAAAGGCTCAGCTGATTTCCATGCAGTGCTTCGTCATGCAATTGATATATTTCGTCTTAAGTTTTTATACTTTGTCAAAAATATATCTAATATGGATAGTCTATTTGAAGTTTCGTTTTCACCATTATCTGAGACTGGAAAAGCGCATTCTAGGTGTGGAAAATGTAGACGCTTTATGAAGTATATACAAGTAGGTACAATTGAAAAATCGTATTTTTGAGAAATGATTCTAATACTAATTTATAGTCGAAACCTGCACGTTTGCATTGTTCGAATTGTGATGAAACATACTCGTTACCGAATGGAAACGTAAAACTTTACAAGGAATATAAATGTCCGCTGGATGATTTTGAATTATTAGCATTTTCAACAGGTTCAAAAGGTCGTTCTTACCCATTTTGTCCTTACTGTTACAATCATCCCCCATTTAGGGATATGGCTAGAAATGGAGGATGTAATACATGCACTCATCCCACATGTCCCCATTCACTTAACACGTTAGGCATTTCTAGTTGTGTAGAATGTGACAATGGTATCCTTGTACTTGACTGTACTTTAGCCCCTAGTTGGAAATTAGGCTGTAACCGTTGTGACGTTATTATTAACTGTTTTAAGGGTGCCACAAAAGTAACAGTGGAAGGTAATATCTAATATTTGCAAATAAACTACCTAGTTATGTTATATTTTTATAGAAAACAAGTGTAATAATTGTGATGCACAACTTGTTACTGCCATTTATAAATCAGACAAAACAAAATTTAGAGATGGGACAGAAGAAAAAAACGGTTGTATTTTTTGTTCTCTTGAATTTTCTCATTTAGTAGAAAAGCATCGTGCTGTTTCATCTCGCCCAGTAAATATACGTAGTGGTGGGCGTGCTGGACGTGGTAACAGTAAAATTGGTCGTGGAGGAAATAGAGGGTCAAGGCAACCTAAGGACAAAATGGCGCAGTTGGCGGCTTATTTTGTTTGAGATTTTAGTGAAAACATTTATAAATATACAGAATAATATTAATTAACTATAATAGGAAATCGGTGTTTTAATGTGTTTTTTAACAAAAAAAAAAAATGAATCATTTAAACATTTAAATATAATATAGGATGGCAGTTATGTAATTTAACAGATCACTTTAGAATATTCGAATATTTAGGTACTAGCGATACTCGGCCAATCATTGTTGTGTCTCGGAATTGTTCAGTGTAAAAGCAAAAAAAAGAAGGTATACTTCAAATATTTTTAATTTGATATTAACCCGGTAATACCTCTGTACTGTTTTAAATAACTGCACCATTAATTTGGGATGTTCATCTTCTTCTCCATCGAAATTTTGCGACCGACCGTTAGCCAATACAATTTCACATATAGATTTTAGTTGAGCTGGGCAAACATTGTATGGGATGCCACCAGATACCTCTTTAGCACCATATTCACCAGAAATATTTCCATCTGTAGGTTGTTCGATGTAAATGGTAGTGGCGTGATTAATAAGCTGGCTTTCTTCGTGTTCTTGTGTTATCTGATCAATATAATCAAGTACTTCTTGCAAGGACAGACCACTATAAAATGGTATAATATATAAAATGTTAACTATATAATATAATATTTATAGGAAAAAAAGCCATGAAAACAGGAAAAAGTACACAGACAATGAAATAAAATTGTAGTTTTTTCATAAAAAACACGTACACTAGGCGACCCAAGAATACTATATGTTAACGCCTTAAGTAAATCGTAAACAAATGACAAAAATATTTTAACCGAAAAATTTTGATTTAAATTCTGTAGTTTATTTCAATAAGTATCAACTAATATTGCTTTTATTGGATCCGGACGAAAAATAAATATTTTATAGGCACACTTACCGATGTACCATACCGAAAATACAATTTTTTTCAATATTTTTTTTTGTACTACATGGTATGCAGTTCTCTACAGTATCTGCAGTCTGAGTTGGATTGAATTCCTAACTTCGATAGGTGATTATTCAATCTACAGTTAGGTTAGGTTAGGTAATACCGGCGATCCCTAGTGGATCCACTGAGGCCTAATGGTCTATTGTGTTACCGTATATATGGAAAAGAAACTCGGTGCTTAAAACCATCTAGAACCTTTTATCAGGTTCTGTAATTGGTACAGGTCCTCAAGAAAGGGGATTCCCCAAGTGCTAAGTCGCCACAGTGCTTAATCTGGTAGGTGGAAGATACTCATCGTCTTCCCCACAACTACCACAGATTTGATTGAAGGGAAGACCTAATCTTCTAGTATGGTTCCCTATTTTACAGTGTAGGTAAACCTACCAAAAGATCGACGTTTCTACGGGACATCTCAATGAGAATTTAAGATTTCCTTTTATCAGAAAGTGGCCAGATTGCATACAGATATCTACATGTCGGTGAGTCTTCCATTTTTTGTTAAAAATTTTTGTGCAGAAATATTGAGCTGCGTCGACATTTCGTTTAGATATGTGTAGCATTCAAAAACCGTCCTAGATGTAAATTGGACTGAACTCAAGGACTTCAAAGCAACTTGACTGTCTGATAGTATGTACGAGAAGAATGACAATTTTATTTTTTGAATTCCCGCGCTTATCCGACCGGAAAATTTTTTTTATTTTCACGCTGGCAACACTATTATACACATTCTGTCAAAGTTTGACGCATATCGTACGATTAGTCTTTGGCTTCTATACAAAAAAGTCGAAAAGTTTTCGTGTGGCGGTTTTTAAAATGGATCAAAAATTAGAACAACGCGTGTGCATCAAACTTTGTGTTGCAAATGGATTCAAGTGTGCCGAAACGTTGAAAATGATAAAAAAAAACGCATTTGTTGATTTGTATGTGTCGCAACCACGAGTATACGAATGGTTCAAAGACGGTCGTACAAGCTTGGACCATGATGAGATCCCTGGCCGCCCAACAACATCTATTACTGAAGAAAACATTGAATCGGCGAAGCAAATCGTGTTGGAAAATCGTTGTGAACCGATTAGAGAGATTGCAGTGTTGTTGGGCATCTTATATGGATCGGCCGAACACATTTTAACTGATGTTTTGGGTTTGAAACCCGTCGCTTCTCGGCTGGTGCCAAAAAACTGAATTTCATTCAAAAAAAGCGTCGTTGTGATGTTGCCAAAGAGATGATTTCCAACGCAGATAGTGACCCCACATTCATCGAACGCATCATAACTGGTGATGAGACATGGGTCTATGAATTTGACATGCCCACCAAACAACAATCGACCGAATGGTGCTTCGAAGGTGAGCCGAAACCGAAAAGAGAACACCAAAGTCGGTCCAAAGTCAAGGTTATGCTGTTTTGTGACTGTTTTCTTCAATATTCGTGGTGTGATGCACTATGAATTCCTTCCGGACAGTCAATAAGAAGTATTATTTTGCCGTTATTCGTCGTTTACGTGAGGCCATTCGCAAAAAGAGGCCAGATTTATGGAAGAAAAACAAATAAAAGAGAATTCGCTGCGTGAACTAAAGACCATACCTTCGACGGCTTCTAAAACTTGTATGGAAAATTGGATTAAGCGTTGGAATGAATGTATTGCCGCAGAAGGAGAGTACTTTGAAGGCGATAATAAAGAAAATTATTAAAAACTAAAATTTTGCGTTTTTTTTTAAATTCTGGTTCTTTTTTGATCATAAGGTATATATTCCTGCCTAATATCTCATCTACATTCAAACAAGCTATAATTTTCCTAATGGCGACCACTTCCGCCTGAAAGACAATGATCTGGAAGCCTTAAATAGGAAGATTTATTCAATTCCTCTGAGAAAACTCCACTTCCTACACCACTACTTGTTTTGGATCCGTCAGTGAAAATGATTACGCCCTCATCTAAGAAGGGATCCGTCCATACATCTCTAGATTGAAATTCGACATTAAATTTACTGTCAAAGTTAGGAGTGGGTGAGATGTAATCAACGTTTTTGGGAGTAAAATTAAAAATATTAAGAATGGAGGCATGACCATAGTCACTGGCTCTCCATTGTGAGGTAGCTTTTAGTCTTAGAGCAGATGGAGCTGCCATTTTTTTACTAGAAATACAGCAATATGGGCCTAATGACAATAATATAATATTGGCTTTTATTGCGCGCTTTAAAGTGTTTTTCTTCCAAGTGAGTTTCCTATAGAAAACTATACCTACAAATTTGGCTTGCTTCTTCACATGTAACAGAAAACCTCGTAGAGAGGGTGAAGAAAGATTTGGGACCGTATGCATTCTGGTTCAGTTTTATTGGTATTCACCCCAATGCCACATTTTTTTGTCCATTTGTTTAGAATATGTTACGATAAATGTTGTCAATTTAATGTAATTCACGGATATTTTTTTTTTGGTTATGTTGTTAAGTATGGTAAAAGCTCATATGTTGTAAGAGTATCTGAGCGAGTGGGTTTAGGATAAACGTTATCTAGCTAAACTTCCAAACGTTGACCCGAAAAGAACGTTATCGAGGATAGCGGTGAAGAGCGGGGATATAAAATATCTAGCGGAAGAAAAATGTTGAAGAGTTTTTTTTGAGAGTCGAACAAGCAACATCTGGTGCAGAGCATTATGCGCTTTTGCATATTGTTTTAAAATTGAAAATGATTATTTTTATTATATAAAATATATATAAAAAGCATAACATTTAATGTGTGCTAATGTGAATGGTTTTTTTAAAAAATAACAAAAAAAAAAACAAAATTCAAATTTATCAGTGAAACAAAAAAAATTAAAAAAATTATGTATGTATTTATTTAATTCGTGAAGACATTTCTAAACTGATCTTGCCACATAACCGTTGAATTAAGACCATAACTACATAGTTGTCTTGGTTCTCTTCGTATGTCTGTGAACCAGTAACTGATAACAGTGAATTTTTATAAATTAGATGATTGTGAATTAACAAAATCACTTATTCACTGGCATGAACAACACAGCAAAGAACAACCTACCTACCTACTGAAGAGCAAAAACCACATATTGAAGAAAAGATTTTTTTTGGTGCGGAATTAGTTATTTTAAGTCATCTTATTTTACCAATGAATGATCCATCACTTGATGATTTCATTGATTATCCAGAGTTTATAAAAGCTCCACAAAAAGCAGAATCAAAACAACAACATCAAAAACAGCTAAGTGGCATACAAATAAATGCATTATCTCATATAAATAATATATATATATCATTTATAAAGTTTTTTTTTATTATTATATAATTTTTTTATTTTTGAATTTTGAATATTTAATTAAATTAATTTTTGAAACCAAAGGAGTTAGAAAATTAAGTTGGTGCATTTATAATTTTTTTATTTTTTTATTAATCTAGTTAAGATAATAGGGGTATTCAGGCAACTGATTCGTTGCTTAGTAGTTGATTACAACAAAAATTTGCACACAAAAATGAAACTAAGCAGGGAATCAATTACTAATCGGATTCTCAGATTAGTACAAATTTGATTAATAGTGCTGCCAGTCCCAAGTGTCGTAATAATAACTTAAAATGAACTTTTGTATAGAAATTTGTTAGCTGTCTCTCTCAGCTGTTTGAATTGTGTGTAAACAATATGTGTTTAAACAGTATGTTTCACTTTTGCTGTTGAAGCGAGTGCTGCCATGGCATTTACACACAACAAACTAATCAGATTACGTATTTTGGGTCGTTCAAACAACTGATTAACATCAAAATGCTAAGTTTTTTTTATATGAAGTTTTTGAATCAACTAAGCAACGAATCAGTTGCCTGAATACCCCTAATATTTACTTATAATTTAAATTTGGTGCTGAACATACATTTAAAAGAGAAAAAAAGTAGATAAACGTAATATATATGTATGTATATAGGCAGCACCTATATACTACAAAGGTAATTAAGATTACAAATATAAGGAGAGTTTGGTTTTATATACAGGTTTTCTGGTGACGTCATCGACAGGAAAGCGAATTTGCAATACTTCCCTCTTTTTGGTTTTTTTCTTTTGACATTTTGTTTTTATTATATTTGCATATATACATACATAAATTTATACTTACTTT